TCAAGAAAGCCCGAAACGAGGACTCCAAGACCCTCAGATTTCCGGTCCCTCACCCATGGCTGGGATGTAGTTACCTCCATTGGGATTCCAACTCGAAGTCGGAATCGAGGCGCTGTGGTGAGCGCAGCTTCCTGCGATACCTGGAGATGGCTTTGTTTGTCGTTGGCAGCTGAGGAATCGGCTGAGAGGCCAACCTGTTTGGTAGGGAGGCCAACTTGGGTTTTTTGAATGTCTTGGTTGAAGTCACCAATCGCATTACCAGACATGCTGTTCGGGCCACTTGTGGCTTTGGCAAGGCTTCTCACAAGCATCCCAATTCAGTGCGCGGCTTCGCTTGTCACTAGGTCCTCAGCATGCTCGTCTACTGCCTGAGGATGCTAGCTTGGGGCTTGATTTTTTTTTGCTACTGCCAACACTTTGCCTACTGTGAAACTTATTGACTGGTGTGAGACTGTGCGCCAGATGGTCAACCGACACCTTTGCTTGGGGTTTGGGGTTTCCATCCTGGAAACGGATCCGAATTCAACCAGAAAATGATTCCACGAGCAAAGCCAGGAATTCGGAGGTTTTTACCATGGCGAATTCGGTGGCAACCTGTCTTTCAGGGGACCTGCAAGAAGCTTTTTTTTCAACTTTCGGTTTCAACTTGTTGCGGCCAAAACGCGGGGCAGCCCTCGAGCCCATATCGTGCTCGGTGTATTCGGGAAGTTTTTCCCACAAATCCGAATTGCAACCAAGTTGCTGCAAGTCTTGCCTCAATGCCTCAAGCCAAATTTGGCTCAAGTTCGCCTCAAGCTTGCCTCACAGCTTGACCAACTGGCTCCAATTTTTGCATCTCCAGTTTCGGAGGTTTCCAGGTCGCCTCAAAAATCGGAGCTTCAAGTGGCTCCAGTTTTTTTGCATCTCTCCCTCCAGCCTCGGAGGTCTTTCAGAAGCCAAACGCCCAGAACCGGCCGCTTCCGCTTCGCCGCTTCCGATTCCCCGGTGGCGCTCAGCTCTCAGGTCCCGTTCTTCCAAGCCTTTGGGCCCGCGCCTCGGGCGGCGCCGAGCGAGAGGATCTCCGCGCGGCGAAAGGATCGGAGCGGAGCGGAGCGGGGGAGAGGATGGGCGAGCGGGGGGAAAGAGCTAGTGGCCGGGCGGAGAAAGCACGCCGTGGCCGTTTTTTTTTTTCTTCTTTCTTTTTTTTGTCCTTTTTTCTTTTCTTTTTTGTTCTTCTTTCTATTTTTCGGAAGTCCCACCAATCCCTGGCCTTGGGAGTTTTTCTTTTTGTGAACTCGAACTCTTATTTTTTGGCTGAAAGTCTTGCGCGGCAGTTGGCAGCGACGTTCAGCAACTTGTGGTGAGGGGCAAGTGGACAGTTGGGCTGGGACCGGGACCCATGTCTGCTCAGTTTTTTTTAAATAATATTATTGTTTCTCTCTTGCGTTTGTCTTCACCACAACTTCAGGTGCTGGGTACTTCTCGTTATCTTGCTCTTCGCGTGGTCGTTGGCCACCAGCGCTGTCACGGCCGCGGCCTCAGGCGATCGCCTCAGGCGCGATTCCTTCGGAGGGCGGCGCTGCTTGAATCGCTTGGGGACAATTTCTCATTTTCGTGTAGCATTTGATCGGACCCAATTGGAACCCAGACAAAAACGGGTTACCCATTTTGAACTGGCTGGTTCAATCAGTAGAGTCCCTTATCCCCGCGAACTGAACTATCCAACTGGTGGTTTCTTTCCTTAGAAGGGGATCCCCTTCTGGTGAAAAGCTGATCCTCAAACTGAGCCGCGCGTGAAGAATTTTTTGTCACATCCCTTAGTCCATACTGTGGATGGAAAAAGAATCCTGCACCACCTAAGAAACCCTAGAATGAGCACCACTTTGAAACCATGGGAAACCATTGTTCGACTCCTTGCAGGGTTTCTGAACGGTGCGAAATGGATTTCGCAACCATCCACAGTATCCGGGTTGGAGGCATCTGAAGCACTCAGGACCTCAAGCGCTGGGCAAGAGGAGGACTTTTCTTCGTCCGCGCCTTGGGAGATCCGCTCAGCGAGCTTCAGGCGTCCTTTTTGGTTTTGCTCGAAAAACCGTCCCTTGGTGGTGTTTGTTTGGATTTTTGGAAACCCTTCATTCCCATAGGTTTCTTTTTTGGTTGTTGCTCCAAAAATCGAGGGCGATTCCTGGTTTACCTGGTGGTTTTTGCTCATCTACCAGGGAAACCCATCTATTTCCCCTAAAAGGACACCCATGCTCAGCAAGTTTAAGAAGCCAGCAGGAAAATCTACACGCTCGCCAACACATGCAGCATCTCGTGCATAGTTTGGCAACCCACCGCGTTAGCATGTATTTGCGCATGGAGATATTTGGACAGACATGTCCGTGGCTGTTTTTCTTGCAGCTGACAGGTCATGTCAATCCTGGCAGCGGCTATGCCAATGATGCTGGCCCTGTGCGTGGGGACTTTCGGGACAACAGGCCGGGTGTTCAGCTCCGCCTTTGAGAAGAGATTCAGCCGCCATGCACCCAAACCATCCAGATCCCATCCCTCCTTTGCAAATCTGGGTGTCCTGTTTTTAGGGGGCCACCCAAAAATGGTTCGCTCAAAACCGCAAACAAGGGGTTCCTTAAAAAGGGGCCGCCCATATGGAGAGCTCTGTCGAACATGCTGTGGCAAAGGAAAGGTCCGAACGTTCGCAGGCTTTTGGATCGGGGTCTTCACTCCAAGCTTCTTGTTCCTTCTGCCGCTTGGCTGCCTTCAGGTTTTGCTCAGCGTGGGGAGCAAGCTGCAAAAGGTGAACATGAGTGGGTGAGAGGTAGGTGCCTAGGGCAAGGAAAGAATGATCCTGCAAGAATCCAACCTCAGCGCCTCCGCATGCTTTTGGAGCCCCATTGATGGACTGCCATGCCTGCAACTGGTGTAGGGTTCGTGCAGAACACCCTTTGTGCTCGACTGCCATGCCCAGGTCGGTGGTTGCAGACACTTGCGTAGGCGCCTGCCTGTCTGTGACTCCAAAAGGGTCAAGAGAGGGCCACGCAGTGAAAGTGGCCACTGTTCGAGTCTTTGCTTTGGAGAGAGAGCTGTTGCTCAAGAAATGGAAAATTCCCCAAAGGGCACCTTGGTATGGGAACCAGGAACTGACAGGAGGGTTTTAGAGGACCTTTGCTCTTTTGGGGAAGCCCCAAAACGTCCACTTCCATGATTGGAAAGAGGGTGTTTGGGAGAGCTACTCTTGCCAAGCTCATGCACCGATTTGTCCTGGCCAGGCCGGTTGATCGAAGCCAGATGCCGGGTGCCTCGATCGGCGATCTCTGGCATGGCAGCTGAGAAGAATTCTCGTTTATTTTTATTTTTTGGGGGGCCGTTTTCGTTGTGTTTTGAAGGCCCCCTTCAAACTTCTTGTTGTTTTTTTTGTTGGGGGGGGCTTGCGGTTTTGTCATCTTTTGAGCGTACCGCCTTCTTTTGCTTTCAAGGGATTCTTTTTTTTTCTCAGTCACCCGTAGTAGAAGTCATCTTCGACAAGTGCAGGTCAAAAGCAAAAGGTGGTTGGGTTTCCGAACTTAACCCACTAAAAGTTATTTTTTTAGCAGGGAGCAAACTAGTCTGTTATATTTGGTACACCAACACCCAAAGCGGGATTGGAATCAAAGTTGCGCAATGAGGCTCCTTGTGCTTGACTGGCTTGCCGAGGTGAGTACACGGCGGAAACAAATTGGCTGCTGTCCTTACTGCAAGAAGCTTAGAAGAGGGCTGAGGACGAAACATTCCGGTGAAAAGCTTCTCATTGCCCAAGTCAGGCATTGACTCGGAAATTGGAGAGTAGGCGGCAATTGAACGGCCACAGAAAGGTGGGTTGTTTGACCAGGGTCGTTTCCCTCCCCCATGTGCTTTCTTTTGGGCTTTGTTCATGTTTCCATTTCAAGCAACCGGTCTCCACCGTATGTCTCTGAGAATCAGAGCCAAGGTTTCGATTCTTCATCGAGCAGGTTCGCTTCAACACCGCGCTCGCGGTGCCATGACTCGGACAGCTTTGCTGATCTTTTGTGCCGTTCACCACGCGCGCAGTATTCGTCCGCTCACAAGCACAGCGCCTGTCAGGTACCGAGGATCAATAAGGGACCTCTGTGTGAGGTGCTATGTTAGTGGGAGCGAGGGCAACTCAAATTTGTACCGGCACATTGTTGACTTTGCTTAGTTGCAAAGAGTCATCTATCTATCTAATGTCATACATCTAACATCTATCTAATAGTCTCAGTTGTTTCGGGGCACATGTCATACATCTATCCAAATTTCTAGTATTCCAGAGGTTCTGGGAACCGCAAGCTTCCCGATCGATCCGAGTGGTGTTTTGTGCCCCAGTCTGATGTCTGGAGCTTCAGAGAGGAGGTCCAGCTTTGTGCGTCGATGGGAAGTAGGTAAAGGCAAATCTACTGGAAGTTAGCCAAATATTCACCCAAACCAGGGTTCACTTCTGTTTTTCCTGTATGTTCTTTTTGTTGAAATTTCTAGGGGCTTCATGGGGATACAGCAGTGGAAGCCACCACACAAAGGGGAAGCTACTTAGGAAAAGCCAATGGGCCAGGCATTTGACAAGCCTTGGATCTGAAGTTAGCCAAGCCAAACTTTCCAGGAATGATCAGGAGAGCTTTCCCGCGCCATCTGTATCGTTTCATTCGGCCCGTTTCGCCGAGCTTCCTCGAGAGCTGAATGGGAGCGCCGAGCTGATCCGATCCGCTGATCCGCCATGTGGAAAGTGGGTTTGGCACGCAAAAGTGTGGGGTAACCCTTTGCTGCAAGTGCAAGTGAGCCACGTGCTCAAAACCGATTCGGGTAGATGATCCGGTTAGTAAGGGACAACCCCAACCATAAATAGCTGCGGCCGCCTTCTTGATTCTTTACATGGTTCTGGGTCGACCATTTTAATACTGGGTACTCAAGTTTCAATCTCCTGGCGCTGTTGCCCAGCAGGATCGGGCGGATACGAAGGTTTCTACGACGCGACAATCGTGCTTGTCCAC